TCATGTTCAACATTAGCAAAAGGTTTGCAACCTGTTGTGAGTTCCCACATAATCATACCCATACTATAAACATCTGATTCTTTAGAAAATGAAGATCCTTTAAATATTTCTGGTGCAATATAAGGTATCACTCCATATATTTCATTATTCGATGATGTATTATTTGCAGGTTGTGATAATCCTAGGTCTCCAATTAACCATTGATGTCTTTCTTCATTGTGACGTAAATCATATAATATGTTTCCACTATGAAAATCTCGATGTATGTAATCAGCTTTATGAATAGTTTCAAGTCTAAAATAAAATAAATGAATTAGAGATTATATAATAACAGATAAGTATTATAAAACATGTTAATATAAATACCCTTCTGAAATTTGCCATAAAATAATTAATTTTTCTTTATTCCACGTAATATCTGCAAAACTTTTTTGCAACCATTTATGTAAATCTCCTCCTGATGCATATTGCATAACTAACATATAATCGCCTAATTTAGGATCTTTTGTAATACCATGGATTCTAATAATATGATGCTTAATTTCATAACAATTTTGATTTGATTTTAACTAAAAAAATTTCAATATCAAAGATTAAAATTAAGTTATTTTATAAATAAATAATACAAAGATTTCAAAGATTTGTAATACCTCATTTAAAAAATATCTGCTGGTATCTTGAGAATTTTTGAACTTTTTTAGAATGATACTTTTTTGATCCCTAGTTGCACAATATATAATACCAAATCCTCCTCTTGCTATTTCCATTATATTTATAAATTGAGAATATGGTATCCACTCTATCAACTTTTCTGATTGATCCGTCAACTTTTTTGATTGAGAATCTTTGTAATTTTGAAACATAGAATGAATAGTTGAATTTATTTTTGATGTAGAATAATATTTGTCAATACGTTTTATTTTGTCTATAAACTTATCTACATTCATATTAACGTCGTAAAAATGGGTGTCAGGAAATAGGTTGAAGAGAAATTTATCTAATTCACTGTTTCCACTAAAAATATTCACAATAGATGCTTTATTGCATTTTCTACATTGAAATTGAGTTGTAAGCCCAAAAATAAGATTTGTTGTTAAACAATATCTGCATTTATTAATATATAACATAAGACAATTTTCGCAGTATTTTTGGCATTCTGATATAAGTGTTAAGGATTTGTCACAAACTTCACAACGAGATATGTGGGAAAATTCATATAATTCACTATTTTCATTCAAAATATTTGCGAAATAAGAAATGATAGTTATTCTTTTGCATTTTTTACATTGCGATTGAGTTGTTAATCCGAAAATAATATTTGTTGTTAAACAATATCTACATCCAGTATAAAGTATATGACATCTCTTACAACATTTCTGGCAGTCTGATGTAATTGTTAAATTTAATCTACAAGCACTACACCTAGCTATATTGTGCCACCATGGTAAATAAATAATTGGAATAATTTTTTTGGTCAAAGTTGATTCTATATATTCAAAAGAAATTAAATAACAGTCCGAACATAATTTGAATATCATTATGAGAGAACTATCATATTCTTTATATAATGATTTTCCACACAGTTTGCAATATTTTACAATTTCGATCACACTATTGTATAAATTTTTGTGTAAATCTCTAAAAAGACAACTTTCAAATATTTGTTTAAAACATAATACTTTCAAGCAATTTCTGCAACATTCTTGAATAACTTGTGGTTCTTTTGTCCTAATTTCATGTTTAGTACATTCTAAGTCCATCATTACATTATATTCATCCAAGTATATATTATGATCTGCTATAGCAGTAAGATAACATGATAAACATTTTTTACAGTATCTTTGATTATTACAAAAAAGTGTTTTAGTGTATTCTTCTCCACAATGAATACAATTAGTATCACGCCGATTAAATGAAATAAACAAAATCGGTATAGGACTAGATTTTAATTTTGGAGTTGGATCAAAAGAATTCATACCGCTTATTTTTACAAGTTCCATTTTATTTTTATATCAAATATCGGTAAAAAAATTAGGAAGTTCACAACATATTTATAGTTTTTTTGACATGATATACGTTATGATAAAATGGAAATGTTGATCAATTGGATTAAGAATTCTTATCAGAATTCCACGCAGAAAGACACAACTTTGAAAAGAATGTGAAATTTATTCTTCAATGAAATTTTGCATACGGCCATGCAACTGTTTCACCTATAACCGAGATATATAAATAGGCGGCGCCCATTTACTAATAATTCTACGCATCTCACAATTACGTAATGCTGCTGGCATTATCCAAAAAGGAAAAATCTACACATTTATTTGGTTCACCATTTTGTACTATAAAACAGTTATTAGAGGAGTGCATATAACGTTAGAGAAGTGCATATAACGCCACCTAAAACTGTTATTATAGGATCGACGGAATATTCTCGTTATATACTCTGAGATTGCCACATGATCAGCAAAAAATTGGTCTGTCATAAATTTTCTATCGTGCATTTATGGAAAAATTCTGTATATACCAGTTTTTTCAGAGGACGTAAAAGTACCACAAACGTAATAATTTGATTTATTTGTAATTATGTAAATTATGCAATAGTGCTTAATATAATAATTAATAATAAACGACGAAAATATTTTTATGTCGATGATCATCAGCAAAAATGTTTAACAACATTTATTAGCCTGAAGAAAAGAATGCCGAAAATCTTGTGTAATATGTCTAACTTTAATTGTGGTTATTTTCTTAATTAATTTGATGATCGTACTAACCA